CCAGCTTCCTGACTTCATGGCAACGATGTATGTCTGCCTGCATGACAAACCTGATCATTTCTAATGCAATTGTTCTATAGTTATCAGGATAAGCTTGTTTTGTGTCTGGTTTGATACCAGAGAGGGCATGATACGTATGTAGTGTTCTGTCTTGATAAATATTGTTAATGAGACTTCACCCCATGGTCAACTCTAGATATAAGCTTATAGGACCCAGCTCGCATTTTTTGGCCTGCATCAGTTTGCCCCCCCACCATCACCCCCACCCCCTACATCACCCCCACCATCACCCCCACCCCCTACATCACCCCCTACCATCACCCCCACCCCCTACATCACCCCCACCATCACCCCCACCCCCTCCCCATTTTTGGGCCCTTTTTGCATTTATCAAACTTCCCAAACAAGTGATTTAGTCTTAATGAAAAAATACATGTATGTGAATATATATTGTTTTTACCTATTGTACATGTTAAAAATAAATAAAAAGGAATACTTATAAATTCCATTGGGAGAATTTCATATCCCACCCCATCCTTCCCTCTCCAGGTTTGAGCTCCATCCATTAATAGTACACTGAAAATGTCAATTTCCATTCTGAGGGTCGTTTACTTGGCGTGACTCAGTCTTTGCAATTAACCCTGACATTTTATTTCTCTTTCTTTTTTTAATGTTGGGCGGTCTCTGTTCCCCATACCTCTCAGTGTCATGTGAGCCAGTGATTCAGATCTGCCGTACTAGTAGCAGTGGTATTGTATAACAATCCATGTTCACTTAAGTGTTGTGTACATTTGATAGCTTTGATACTTTGTCTGAGGTTAGTGGGTGGTTAGGTATAGAATTAGTCTTGTCTTGGTAGGAGACCTGATGATGCTGCCCTCTTGTGATGGAAAGTGGAAGTTAGGCTTGCAATTGGTAATTCTGTACTGTATATCAAAAACAGAACTATAAATTTTCAGCTGAGCCTTTTATTGCTGACTTTATTTAGGTTATCAAAATGTATTGATAGGAATTTTATGGTGAACAGGATCAATACAATCAGTCTTGCCCATATTTTGGAGAGTGCCTGTTTCTACCTTTAATTACTGGATAACATGGACAGTCAACGCTGCTTCATGGAGATGCTGCCAGGATTTCATGTTTATGGATTTATTAACTTTGACTACAACAGGAACAAAGGTGATGTCAAAACAAGGAGGACACTGGGAACAATTCAGAGAAGAAAAAGTGAATTGTGTCCAATTGTGAAAAAAAAAAAAAAAGGAAATAAGATAATCAAAGAATAGACTGGATATATCCACTCCAAGATGAGAAAGAGCATTACAAAACATATTCAGACAGTAAATTTCATATTTCAGACTTTTGGTGTAATTTCTCTGGTGAATTTTAATCTTATTTTATTTTGTGAATTTTGTTTATGTTTTTGATATGTTAATAAAGATATATAAATATTAATTTATCTTTGTTTGGCTCAGAAGAATGATGTCTGGTTGAAATAATGGAGAATTCAGTGTATCAGTCCAATGGCACATTTTTGATAAAATTATTTTTTGAGAAATAAGAGCATTTTTTTCACCACAAAAAAAAAAAAAAAAAAAAAAAAAGATTTTACGAAGAATTATCATTTCTGATATCCATGGTATCTTTAATCAATTTATATTCAAATAACTGGACTAAGCACTATAATGAAATTAAATAACCTTGCAAAAGACACTTGGTAATTAACATTATGTGCTTCACTGGATTGATACATTGATTTGATTGCTGAACTCTCTCTCTCTCTCTCTCTCTCTCTCTCTCTCTCTCTCTCTCGCACATCACTAAATTTCTAGATCAATCAAAAGCTTGCCAATGCTACATTTGTCCATATCATCTGATTACAGCCATGTTAAAGTGGGCTGCACTGTTTAACCCCCACAAATTAAAGCAGAGTAGACTACTTCATACGGACTTGATGTTAATTGTTATGTACGTAGTGCTCCCAATGACACAAAGATTGAATCCTCGAAGAGAAGTTAATTTCCTCAAATCTCCCTCTTGAATAGCCTGACAAATAACTTAAAGGCTTGTTACATCATTCAAAGTAATGCAATTACCTTTTTGGCAAAAACTGCATATTGATGCTGAGTGGAAATATAGACGATGTTTGAAGCCATCTGTTTGATAAAGGCCACATGAAGAAGAAAAAGAGTTATTTATAGTTTTTTCTTTCTTCTTTGGAATTTGACAGTAAAATCATGGTGATATACCTGAAAATTGCTTTTTAAAAAGCCATCTCTTCAAATGGAACATTTTAGCATTTTGACCAAAAGCCTTCCTGATTATTATTTTCCAATTCCCTTACTATATACATTGCCTCTTTTGCTGGTGAGTATTTGGACCCTATATCACTTTAGTAACTATTTAATTTGATATCATCATTATCATTCAAATGAAAATGAAATGACTATGAAAAATTTATTTCACTATATAGGAAATCATTGATGATGCTTAGAAAAGGCACAATTGTTATCACCCTTTCTTCCATGCCAAAATTCCAAGAACAGCCCCTTTAACCTGGCCAATTAATAGACAATTAGGAAGAACACATAAAACCATCTTCAAAAGATGAGAGAAGAAAGAGCGCGGCTTTAAGGTTAAACGAGTCATGCGTGTCAGGTTGACTATGTTAATTGTGCCTATAAAAGAAGAACATTAATGAGTTTTTGGAGAATAATATGCTACCAGTTTGTCTTTCATAGGTTTTTTACACGAGTGCAAGTGCTCTTTAAAGTTTATAGTGATTGGAGACCATTCGATTTATTTATTGATTTAAAAAATATTTTTAAGAAGCCCTTTGCATTTTCTTTTGGATATTCTCTCCCTTAATTGCATTGCCACAACATCAAATGATGATGTAGTTTTGCAATTACAAACTAATTGCACCAAAGTCTAGTAAACATGTCATAATTACTAAACATTAAATATTAAATTACTACTTAGAAAAAAGAGCAATAGTCCTTTGAAAGAAAAAGAGTATAGTTATCCCATGTCAAGTGATACAACCATCATTGTCTACTACATATTTTATCTGGGGGAGAAAAGGCGCCCTTGAGCTGGAGACGACCACATGGCCACTTCACATGATTCACAAACATCACTGCTAAGAAAATGTACCTTTGGATGAAAAATACAGCAAATGCCCCGTGTCAAGTCATAAAGTCATCATATTGTAATAACTTATTTGACTACTTCTGGGGTCTCCCCAGACAGTCTCCCCAGAACAGGAAAGGAGTCCCTGTGACCTTGTTAATAACTCAAGGTCGGCTGGTTTGAATTATGGTGGACCTCAGCCACAGGTCTGTAGCCAGCAATTGCAGAAAGGGTTGGTCTCTTTTTCCGAAAAAGTGGATCTTTTATCATGAAAGACTACCTAGATCAAATCTTGAACAGAGCAGACTTTCCCCAGCAAAAAGAGCGTTGTTTGTTTGAACCCCCTGCCCCCCCCCCCTTCCTCAGTCAGGGGTCCGGGGCAAGAGTCACAGGATAGAGAAAGGAGAACAGTTTTATCGGTGGTCAAGTAAAGTGGAAACGGGGAGGTCAAAAATGGCCTGAGCCCATCTACAGACTGTCTGACGTAAATAATTTTAAATTATTCTCTGTATTCAACTTCTGATTATTCCAATTTCCAAATTTGTTTTCTGAATGCAAGGTACTCAAATATGCACAAGTCTTGTTCATTCCATTTCTAATATGATGTCATCAGAAAATTTTTACAAAGATTTGTCCTGTCTTTTGTCCCATTTCGACCTAGAATTCATCTACTCAGACATTCTGAGGTTATGTCTGAGAAACAAAATGATCTTGATTTCAGACCTGTCTGAGCTTGGCCTGAAAACTCAAAGCAGCATTTTCAGTGCTTTTGACCTCATCCAAGAGATACAAGTCTTCCAAATTTCCCATCTCTTGGGTTTTAAGTGCCCCCCCTCCCCCATGCTCTTTCCAGTCTCCACCTCACATACAGCTCAGCACTTTGGGTTCTTGTATTTTCATGATTTCTTAAAGGTCCACTTTCATCTTTAGCATCACGCCAAGTTGTGATTTAAAAACCTGTTGACACTCAGCTCTAATATAAAGGAACATGTGTACTGTTATACTGTATGTGACCTTCTTATCCTAGCAAGTGCTTCCACATGTGAATATTTAATACATTTTATACCAGATGCTTCTGGCATATTTTATATGTCACAGCTAGGGTTTTATGATAATAGGGTTCTACAGTTCTTACATTGCTAGCACTAGTACTGCACTGGCCTTAGTAAAGTTATCCTATTCCCTCATTTAAAATGTATATTCATAAATTTAGGATGGCTCAATTAAATTTAAAACTTGATTTTCAAGACATGTAGGGATGGGACGCATACCAGTATGATATTCAGTGCCATATAGTTTCCCACATATCATGAAAATCAACTTTAAAAATTATATATATATATATATATTTTTTTTTTCCCTAGTTCAAATCAGACCTAAAAACTATAAAACCCCGCAATTAAAAGTACCTGCCATGAGTTTAGAAATTGGGTATAATAATAATAATAATAATAATAATAATAATAATAATAATAACACAAAGATGTACTCTAAACTTTAAATACTAAGATGCTAAGATCAGAAGCTCTACATAACATCGCCTCTAGAATTAAATTGCACTAACTAGATAATTATATAAATGGAATAAAATTGCACTTCCATTGTAAAGGTTAATTTTAGTTGTAGCACTTTGATTGATCATATGACAAATTCCAAATGTTACATTTTCACATACAGTGAAACCACATGGCAGTGGCTCAGATGTACGTCAGTGAGTGGCAGAGCAGAAATTGATGTAATGAATTGAAAAAACTTATACATTGTACATGTGGATCCTTGCACCTTGTTTAGTGATCTTATTTGATGATGTTAATTTTTAAGGTATATTTTGAGTCAATTACGTACTATATTTTCATTCACATTTTTAGGATGAAATCCGCCAGGCGCGACGCATGAGAGAAATCAACGCAAAGGTCAAAGGTGATCCCACACGACTATGGAACCTGCGAATGAAGTTTTTAGAACAAGCCAAAAAGTATTTTGGCATTCCTTATGCAAAGAAATACTGGTCGCCAAAAGGTATACTCAGCAGTGCATTTAACATTGTCAAATTATTACTGAATGTTGAGAGTTAATTAAAATTTTTTGTTTTCAAATAAAACATTTTTAGGTCTGTAAGAAAGCCTTCAATTTCTCAAAAAAATGTTCATCATCAAAACTGTAAGATAGCTGAAAATATTTTTGTAAAAAGTTGAAAAGTAAACAAATTGTTTGTTGAGGTTGATTTTTTTTCTGACATTTTTTGAGTAACACAGAGACCATGCAAAAGAAAATCCAGAAGAACAATCAAGACATCATAATGTTGTGAACACAGTGATTGCACAACTTCAAGCATCCTTTAACAATGACATTTTCTAGTTCAAATTTGAAACAATGACAACCTTGAAAAATGCATAAATTGACTTTAAAACATCAAAACTTTCAACAATTTTTGGACAACTCACTGTTTTTGGCTAACTGCATTATATTCTGCCTGAGGCAATCAGATTCCCATCGCAGGAATTCTTTTGTGTGAAGTTGTTAATAAATACTCTGTAAAATGCCGTACCAAGGCTGTAATGTCAGTTCCTCAAAGTCCCGATGGTTATTTTGATTGTTTTTTTATCACACTATCTTGGGTTTAACCTCTTTCTTATCTCTCGTGTCGTCAGCTTTGAACTAAAAGGCAAATGTCATAAACTGTTTGTGAAGGCATTTTCCTTTTTTTATTCTCATAATTTATACGTCTTTTTCTGTTTCTTTTTACTGGAGAAACAATGATTTAATTATTTTTTTCTTTTCAAATTTTATTCAAAAATGCACACTTGAGGAATGTAGGCTTAAACTTTACAATTTCTTCGCTTACTTGAGCTATACCCAACAAAGTTTTAAAATACCTTATTAACAACTCTCAACTGTAAACCGTGTGTTTGTTTTAACAGCAAATTGGATGAATATGAATAAAAATAAAGTGCTTCTTTCTGATATATTGTGAAACCAAATGAAAATCCAGTTAACTACATTTATTTGTAAAAAAAATTTGATAAGGTACATTATACAATACGACGAAATTCAATAAAATACAAAAAATACAACACAAAACAACAAAATTCAGTACAATACAATACAAAAATCAAAGAAAATTCAACACAAAACAACAAAATACAATACAACACAACAAAATACGATCCAACAAAGTTTGATACAATACAACAATATTCACTACAAAACAATACAGTAAAATTCAGTACAATACAATACAATACGAAAGAACAAAATACAACACAATACAGTAAAATTCAGTATAGATACAATACAAGTCCATTGATCTAGCTACCTTCTATCCCCCCAGACCCAGAGTACTTCTCCAGTCAGTTTCTGGATTGCTGTGGCTTGGTGCGCCAAGTGCTCAGAGACATGGAGGCGGAGCTGGGGTTCCGGGTCGGCCAGTGGAACCAGGCTTACCAGTTTGACACGCTGCCCATCACAGTGGAGAAGGAGGAAGACATGAAGCCTGGAGATCTGGTGTTCATCGCGGCCACGTATTACAACCCTAAATGTAAGTGATGGACTTTGTCTCCAGCTATGGTGTGTGTATGGAGCACGGCAGGTGCCCTGGGCGCAACATAAAGGGGGCGCCACTTAAAGGAGCTGCCATTTTATGTTTATCAGTATTTTATTTTGCTTATTATTTATTTTTATTTGTTTAACTGATAAATATCAAAGTAATAAAGGAATGATTATTGTACGAGAATCGTCCGTTACTACGATAGCATCAAGCAGTCTTATGCTTAGAGCTTCAGTTAAGACAGCAAAAAAGAAGTGTCAGTCTCTGCTTTAATTTCTGGAGGCCATCAGTGTAAAAAGGTCTTAGGACCCCAGAAGGTTACGGATGGGACTTGCTGCCCTCAGAGTGAGTCTACTCTTTAAACTTCAAGCAAAATATTTTGTTGACCTGGAACTTGGTTCTTGCCCCTATCCACACATATATTACATAACATCATTCCTCTCAGTCCCTGTATCACAACTCTACATCCAAATAAAGACATCAGGCCAGCACGATTTGTCTTTGTTGTTCTCTGTCCTTGATGTCAGGTAGCACCTGGCCTTGTGATGGTGTTTCATGTAGTGTGATGTAGTTTCATTTCCTGAAGCTGTGATGTGATGAAGATGTTTCTTCTCCATGTTTGTTTATGTCTGCCCTGTTCCCAGTGCTGCTCTGATGACATCCATTATTTGGTCAGCCTTGCGACTTCGGGGCTTGTCCGTTCTCAGAATGGTGCAATGGATTATAAATAAATGGATCTAATCTGTTATATTTGGATCAGAGATCTAGAGTCAAAGATATGTAAGCTATACATGCACCATTTATTATGGCTTTACTTTCAGAGACATCCTCTTCATTTTCAAATTTCCTGATGGTAACACTTTGACTTATTTTTTCTGTCAAAGTTAGACCAATTGTGAACAGTACCTTGTTAAACGGTGGTAGCACATGCTTTGATTACACAATGTAAAGTGCTGTAATAGTTTGGTGTTGCGGTTAAGTGACACAGAGATAAAATGTTAGTTCCTGGTTTGTGGAGATGTCACCTGCATGAAACGTGCTGCATGATACACGTGATGATAACGTGATGATTGGCTTCCTTTCTTCTTAGAACTGCCACAATAAGTGTCTGGAGAAGGTCATGTTTCTACTCTCTCTCTCTCTCTCTCTCTCTCTCTCTCTCTCTCTCTCTCTCTCTCTCTCTCTCAATCTGCACGGAAGAGAATTGGCCATTGCCTGTCTTGATTTACAGACAAGCTGAAAGACAGACAGACAGACAACCTAAGGTATATCACAGCTTCTATAGCAGCAACTAAAGTATCATTTCTTATCATGAATTCATCATCAACTCAAACAAAAAGAATAATAATTTGCTTGTAGTGTAAAGATTATTTTATTTTTAGAAAAGCATTTTCTTATTTCAAAAGTGGGCATATCTTTTTTTTAATAATTGTTTCTTTCTGTCTGAAAGGAGACAGCCCTGCCTGACGCGCTAAGCGTTGACTGTTTGCAAAAATTTCCTCAAGGGCATGAAAATAAGCAACTAAATTGAACTTTTTCTACTGTCAAACAAGCCTTAAATGGCATCCAGTCACCACAATTACTGTGCCAGAAATTTTCTAAAATTGGTGTCTACATTCACCTTGAAATAAACAAATTGAATAAAAATATTCAAAACATGGGGAAATTCTAATTTCAACACTAATGTGTCACATTATATCAGACAATGATTATAACAGTGTTTGTTGGAGAATCATTTCTGTAATTACAGTTGTAAAAATTGACACCTTCAGTTTTCAACATTTGCCCTGCAAGTATCTACTTATCAACCCAACCCCCGCCAGCCTGAGCTGGGAATTTATGTGTGCCAGGCATGTAAGCCCTGAGGGAGCACCTCTAAAAAGACCTGTTCCACTGGGCCACTGTTTTGTGTTAGAGCAATCACCGTGGCATTTTTGGTTGAAGTTTATAGTGTACTCCTTCCAGCAGTTTTATTGTTGGAGATATTTTCTTCCTTGTTGAACCGTTGCCCGAAGAAGCTAACACGGCAATTTACGAACTTCCCAGACTGTGACAGACCTGTGGGCACTTTATAGCATGACTTTTTTTTAAATCTTTTTTTTTCATTATATGATATATATATATATAAATCTGTGTTTATACTTAACACAAATACCTGATATTTATGAACTTAAACTACTTTTAAGGTTTAAAAATCTGGACTCTGTTTTTCATGAGCTGCCCTTTTGACCGGATAAGGTCTGCTCAAAATCAAAATTTGATCTAGGTTCTATGCCATTTTTTCAATCTGAGCAGCTAAGGGGGTAAAAAGTTCCACTTTACCAAAAAATAAAACAAAAAAATAAATAAATAAAACATTGCAGGACTAATACATATCATTCATTTCTAATTTTAAAATGTCTGAAGTTACTCATTTGACTAGAAAAGTGTCATATATAACTACAATTGTATACATATTTATTAGAAATTATATTGATTTTCATCTTCACAGTTTGTATTTCTTCTTGACCAACACTTGGGCAACGCATTCACTAACAGCACTCTCTATTGTTCTTTTCTTCCAGCCAAAAAACAGCGCCATGACATGGTGCACGTGGAGATATGGCTGGGAGACGGCCCAAAGACGATAGGAGCACGCTGGCAGAGGGGAAAGGTCCAAGTGTTCGACAGTTACCAGTTTGAAGCCAAAAGTTACCACAGTCCTACATATATATTCAAGTCTATTGACACGTGGCTGATGGGAATATGCCAAAGGTACCTTGATACTTTAGGCTGGTTACATTTATTTGTTGTTCAGGGCTCCATAACTCCAAAGCATCGCGAATTGTGATAGTGATATCACCTTTTATTTCGAGGCTATTATATGGGGTGAGTAAATCCTGAGTTATGGAATAGAGGCGAATCTCCATGCTTGGGCTCAGTCGCAATTCACGATGCTTTTGAGTTATGGAGCCCTGGACAGTCCTCAAACTAGGCTTGACCATGTTCAAAGTCCATTGTATCACATATTGGTAATTTGATATTTCATCCTCTCTCAGAACATACTAAAACAAAAGTTGTGAAATAAATTATTGATACTTAAATACATATTTTTGTGGTCATCACATGTAATAATCAATCAGATTTAAGGCTGCTTTTTTTAACCCCAAAGGAAAACTGATAATTTAACTCTGCATGAAAAGATTTGTTTTACCCATTAACTGTTATGTGCTGTTTTGTTTTTATAGCTACTGCCCAGAGCACCCGTGGAGGACATCCCGTTATGATCCAAGCAAGCGGTCTGTGTTCTCGTATTCAGACGACCAGGATGCTGAGGTGGAGGAAGAAGAAGAAGACGCAGAGGAAAGTGCTGGCGATACAGATGACGAAATGGTGCGCAGCTTTGGAGACGAAAGGGACTTCAAAAAATACCTTTTCACAGCTGCAGAGGAGGTGAAGGCCATGAAAATGTCAAAGGTCAATGTCAAGGCCACAGCTCAAGCAATCTCAGAACTCAGTATTAACAGTGTCCAGGAAGCAGATTCCGTCCATTTATCACAGCAAAGTTCAGTCTCAGAAACTTTATGCAACAAGGAAAATGTGAGTGAAAAGACGAGGAGGAGTCCAATAGGCCCAGATGGCAATCCGTCCGATGCCGACACAGACGGTCAAGGGCAGAATGGGTCGTCTGCCACAGGAAGTGCAGGTGCGGACAAGGATGAGTAGTATGATTTGATTGGTGGATTGGTTTGGCTTTGGTGACATGGTGATCAGCAACTTTGGTTTACATACTCTCTTTGATCATGGTTGTGTGGAAAAAAGAAACTAAAAAACAGGCTGCCATCTTAGAACTTGTAGATTATCACTGCTATGATTATACTGCTATATTTGACTGTTTTCTTTATTTTTACCAGTCCCAATCTTATCATGATTCTGCTTTTTAACAGTACATAAGGTAGCCATCCCTTGGTTTTATTAGCTGTCTTTTAAAGATCCATGCTCAGATTGCAGAATTTTATCTATTGGAGATATGTTCCTGTCTTTTATGTTGGTGAGAAAATTCCATCAATTTGGAAGTTTAGATATAGCATGCAGATATTCTATTATGTTCTAGTTCTGTCCAAGAGTGTTGATTTTTGCACTGTTTACAGTTGTATTTTCTAATCATATTGTAAGGTTTTTTAGACTAAAGTTTACTTTATTATACACATTTTTTTCATGGCGCTAAAAATACAGAAAAGCATTGAAGGCCTAGCAATAATAGTGCCCTGTAAAAAGTATACTAGTTTTTATGAAACGTGTAGTTCACATGAAAGATAAAAATGATTTTCTTTTATATAGATAAGTGACTTTACAGATGTTTGTGACCATAGAACATCTGACTCAGAACTTGAATTTATTTAAAATATATTTCTAATTGAAAGACTGCATTTTAGTTCTAGGCATGATAGCTAGATCTAAGAGATGTAGGAATAAAATGATTTTTTAATTTTTTTTTTTTTTTTTAATTTCCATTTAGAAAAAAAGGACCAACACTAATACTTATACTGTTATACAGGATCATACCATTATGTTTGGTGGGAGGGGGGTTTGAACTGCCCCTTTTGAACAGAAATGTCCACTCTGACTAAGGAATTTTGTAAAAAGAACCCCATATGAAATATAAAATTGCTGACTGCAAGCCTATTATACATTTAATTTCTGAATGCCAAGTGTTTTTTTAGACTATTAATCCACATCACCTGGACAAGTCATCAATAATTGACAGTAACTGTCTGCGACTGAGTTACGTACACACACATTTGATATATGAACACTCGTAGCTGATGTCCCCTAATGGCATTGGGAAAACCATCACCTCAATGTGTAACATGGCAACAAAAATAACCTCATCATTTCAAGCATTGTCAGGTTCACCAAAGTGACAAGAGAATGCATTACTGGGAGCTTGTGATGGATTAATCCGTCTCTTTTCACGATAAACTAGATCCAATATTTAGTCGTTGTTGTCGAATATAAAGGGATCTCCTTGTCTGCAATACAGGTGTGTATTGAAGCAAGGTTTCTGCTGTGTTTGAACTGATTGTAGGTTTTCTGTGCAAGAAGCACACTCAAACTGAACATGGCAAGTTTAGCCCAGTATTATGGTGAAAAAAGGATACCTTTCTGTAATGCAAAACATAGAGTTTGGTACTGTTAAAAATTTAGAGTTTTTTTTTTTTTTTTTTTTTTTTTTTTGAAAGTAAAGACACAATCAGGGTAGGCCCATAGGCCAGGGAAGTTTTTGGGGGAGGTCGAGGAATTAGAAAGCAATTCGCCTCTTTGCAAAAAATTGTCTAGTTTTGAAACAAAATGTGATTAGGTTCTACGCCACTTCTCTAATCAGGTCAATTACTGAGGAAAACAGGGCCTCTTTTTATGAAAAATACCCCCCTTCTCCTTTGAAATTTCTTTTATGCTACAGTGCTGGACAGTCTGGTTCTTCCAGCAGAGTGCCATGCAGGGGCAGATCCAGAGATATTTTCTGACAGTCTTCCAAATTATTTTTGTTGATCCATCCTCCATTTTTTACCATCTTCCAACAGAAAAAAAGACCCAGAAGATGGCCTAAATTTGCCCCTGCCAGGTGTGTAAATACAGGTGCATTTTGGCCCAACAATGACAGAAGCAAACTTTCCCATTGTGATAGCTATGCATTCCTACTCAGCAACACTCTGGCACATTCAGCCCCAGAGGGATCATCATTAATTGACAGGTATAGATGATTGTTTTCAAGAGAATTGCGGGCACTGTGTTGTTGTCATAATGCACTTCCAGCTCAATCGACAGGTGGATTGTTCTCCATACAATAAGAGTAATTGCATCAAATATGAAAGAAATGGGAAGCAACTGGCATGCAATATGTGCATTTGCTTCTGTTTCAGTCAAGCATGTCCTTGTTTGTCTGTCATATGGGCTGAACACATTGTGCCACCCAAAGTTTCAGAGGTCTGTTGTGTTTGTTTGGTAATTAGGAAACCACTTTGCTAGTAAATAGACCAGTAACACAGAGTTTAAGAGATTAACAGAAACTTGCATCAATTAAATAGAAACAACATAGACATGTAGTTGGTATAAAGAATAGTTTCTCTCCAGTGCACCAGTTTTGACTGTATTCAATTAATCCTAATTTCTTTTAGCATCCATTTGTATTACTTTTATTTAGCAGTTTAGATGATAACCATGTTTTGTTTGTATATTTATTTTTATTGGAATTTTTTAAATGATATTTTTGCCTGAATTGCCAAATTTATATATAGTACCTCGAATATGTAAGATGGATCAAAATTTTAGAGAAGATTGTGTAGGTTAGCAAAGATGGGCCAGACGTGTTAAATGAGTATCTACATGAAAAGGTGAATTATTTATTGGAACAACTCAAAAATAATTCATTTTCTTGGTGTATACTTGAACATTAAACCTACTCTCATTAGTCAATGTGCCAGTACTTTATATATTGCACCACAGCACTGCTTATCTATAACGCCCTCTTGCAGACGCAATATTTTAGTCAATAAAGCCTTAGGCTTATCTCAAGGAAATCTCAGAGTCAGTGTTTCTGTATTTAGAGAGCTATAACAATTAAAATAATCCCAGTAACAATCCCTGTATTGATCCCATCCTGCATGCTAGTACAACACAGCTATGGAGCCTTCATTCTTGTGTGTGTTTAATGATAATGAAATTGGAGCAAATACTTGCTAGTAGCAATTACCAGTAAACGAAAGAAGCACCTTGTCTTGTTGAGTCTTGGTGGAGTTATTTTGAAGCCAAGCTGAAGTTCGACTGACGCCTTTGGAAGATGCTCTATTCAAATATTCGGCACGATTTCGGAAGTGTCTACTTGGCTGCCTCTGGTCCAGGTAGGCTCCATTTTCTTAAGAAATTAATAGGAAATATTAATTTTATTTTATTTTATTCATGATGACTTTTTGGTCTTTAGATCACTATTTCTGACAATTTCTTTGAACTGCTATTTGATAATCTTGCCTTGTATCATATGGCCTTGGCATGCTTAATATATTTAAAAATTATTGATATTGGCCCAGATTTCGTGTGTTAAGAAAAGTTTAGTATTTAAAGTGAAAAGTTGAGCATAACATTTTTAAAAGTCCAAAAAAAAAAAAAAAAATCACCTACCTGCCCTTTGTAACAGAGCTCTCTTAACTGAACACTGTCTCTGGGAACACTTGGGCGAGGGTTCTTTTTACAGCAGGCAGTATGCTTTACTAGACTAGCCCACTTTCAGAGGTAACTTCCTAGCCCGACTATTACATGAGAGATTCACCTAAACTGGGCTCCCACTGCATATAACTGCCATTTAGAAATGTAGCTAATTAGTAGGAATTGTACTAATGGAAGGAAGTAAAAAAAAAAAAAAACCTGTAGCATAATCGGTACCTCTAAAAGAACCAGTTTAGTTGAGTTTATACCACTCAAAATGAAAAGGCTTGTACATTGTAGCCTTTATTAAGCATTTGAGTACTTAAAATGTTCTATTGATTCTTTAGCCTTGCATCTTTAAAATTTTAGCTTTGGAAAGATATGACTTTCCTACAGTTATTGACAGTAATGAGTTGATGAAAAAATGGCACAGGTTGAAAAAGTGGTGATTCAGAATTGCTGTGTATATGTTAGGCAAAGGTGACTTGGATACTGTGTTGTATGTTATATTAAGGAAATCAGGAATAATTTTTGCCAAATTGCTGGAGTGGCAATAAAACATGTGACACTTTGAAATTTCAAGCATTGGCATGTAAGGATGAATAAGTTTTCACGAGATATTCAAAGATGAAAACTATAGTGTTCAGATTCATGTTTATTTTTTATTAGTTGGGTCCTTAGGATACTACCCCCCTCCCCATGTACAACTGCAATATGTGAAGATTTTTCTGAGTTTTTTAATTAATTAATTAATTTATTTATTTTTCTAATTTATGTGGCACAAAATGTACGTATCACTCAATGACAATTAAAAAATAAAAATAATGACAGGTTAAGGAAGATTAATTTAAGTAATGATGATCTTATATTTTTGTACAACTTATCATAGACAGTGACAGGGTTTAGTTAAGTGCTCTGTTCCAAGATGGCAGCACTGGTGTGGGTGGGGCAGATATGTGTATTATTTTGTTGTAGTCATTAATCATTTATAAGAATTGCTCACATTTCCTCACAAAAGAAATATAATTTTGCATCTTTTCTCAAAAGTATCTTACTTTCAAATTATATATTGAATGACTTCCAGTCATTGTATTTAACAAAAAAAATTACATTCTTTTAAGATTGCACAAGGTGTGATTTTTTCAAGTATTCCAAGATGTAGAGGCATAGCAATTCATTTTAAATAAAAAAATATAAATATTAGCTAAATTAATCTCTTTATTCTCTTAGACGCTGCTTGAATTATAAGTGCAAATTTAACCCTCCTTCAATTTATAATGCTGTGATGTTGTATAATTACCCAGGTGGTGGCTCCTCCCCAAATAAGAGCCCCAAGAAAACCGGCAAGAAGACACCAGAGGGTGCTGGGGACAACGGCGGAGGAAAAGGTGGCGGGAATAGCGGTGGTGGAGGTGGAATGCGGGCACCTAGAACGGTTCTTGCCTCCAACATGCAGCCGACATTCTACATTGGTGGAGGGAATGGGGTCGCCTTGTAAGTTTTCTTTTAGGAGGGTTAGGCACCGAATAGTTCAAGTTCCTTAGGGTGATTTTCAAGTATATAATTCACCTATAGAAGTGTATAGAAGAAGGTGACATAAAGGTGCTTTCTAACAATAACTGTTATTATTTGTTTTAAATTATATGTATTTGATTTTGGTAAGTAGATTTTAATTACAAATATTAACTTTATTTTGTTCCAATTATTTCAGAGTTGAGGAACCTCTACTGGCTCTGGGTTGGAAGAGGACCACAGATAAAAATAACGACTTCTTCAAACTCAAGTGGACCGAAGCAAAAACTGCCATCAACTTTAATGCATTTAGAGAAGGTTTGGGCCTAATTAACTTTTTTATAAATTGAGAATTATTTAGTAAATATTTCTATCACATTCAAAGAACAAACATTGTACCAAAAAACTAGACGTATGTTGTATTTTACCATTTTTATTTTTATGACTGATTTTGTGGAGATAAGTCATAATTGTTGAAACATCTTAAAGTTTATAATGATCCAGTTGCACCAGATAACCCATTTTTATTGACAAGTAATGATTGAATTTCTGGAAATAAGTTATATTGTTGAAACATCAACAATATATTATGCCTTAATGGTACCAGACAACCCTAGGCAATTAAAAAATATATTGACTAATTCCTGAAATTTTCAATTAGGAGAGCAACTTGTAAACCACATTCCCAATGGGCAGCTTCTGACCAATAAGATGGGTCTTCTCAACTCACTGAAAGAATACGAGCGCGTCTCTGCCGGGGTCAGAGCTCGTGGGCCTAGGATGATGATGTCAGACTTTTTCTGTGAGACGTACAAACTGGACGAACGGACAGACAGAGAGGCATTTTTTAATAACTACAAACGTAAGTTTTTATATTGGCACTCACGGTGAAAGGAGTATATCTATGTTGCTGGTCTTTGTTTTTTCATATTTATTTTTAAGCATATTTCTTGCACCTGATGTCACTGACACATTTGAAAGATATGGATGTTACATGTCACCTTTGTGTTTGCATCTATTCTTTGTTGAATTAAAACTGTTACAAAATTTCTATTACCAAAGTGAAGCAGTTTCTATAGTTTACTCAAAGATTTTGTTGTTTTCATTCAACTTTATTTATTTCAACTTCTTTATACTTCCATAACTTGTAGCGGGAGAGGTGTGGATCTGTAAACCCACAGGTATGAACCAAGGCAAGGGTATCTATCTAGTCAGAGACATTGAGAAATTTAAAGCCAGTTTGGAAGAAAGAGATGAAAGGCTAAGGAGGCGGCGAGTGAGACCCACTAACATGGGAAGGATAATACAGAGGTAGGTTATACAGAGGACTGGAGTATCATATGTTGTGAAAAAAAAAATTCACGTAATCATTGTGTTATTGTACTGCATAACAGTACAGAATAATAATACAGAGGAACATGGTATCCATTATTGTTAAAATAAACCTGCTCATTTAGTGATCAAAGTTACATGTGCTTTGTAGAAAAGTTTGTATATCTAACAGCTTGAAGTTCTTTTAGCTCTTTACTTTGAAAAGATACATTTCACGTAATATCTGATTTCATTTTTACATAGATATATTGAAAACCCACTGCTGCTTGAGGATAAAAAGTTTGATGTGCGGACATACATGCTGATTGCAAGCACCACACCTTACCTTGTGCTCTACCACAAAGGATACGTGCGCTTGTCTTGTCAGAAGTATGATCACCATAGCAACGATCTGACAGCACATTTGACCAATCAGGTGAGGGAAGCGGAATAAACCTTTGTTTGTTTGTTTGTTTGTTTCACTCACCCTTGTCTTTTATTAAGAACTGTTTTCAACCATTGTTTAATTTAGTGCAGTTTCTCTTTAAAAGAGCTGAGTATAAATATAATGAAAATCCATATATTACATGTTTATTTGCAAGAACCCAAGAAAGCATTATGCAAGTATGGAATTATTGCAACAAGCAACATTTAGGCGAAATAATTTCAGGTATCTTTAAATTAAACATTAAGTATTATAACTGTATTATTGTTATTATTATTATTAATTTTATTGTTATTTGTAGTACATTCAGAAGAAGGACCCCAGCTACCAGGATGTGAAGGAGGATACAGCCTGGTCCATGGATAAGTTCAATGACTACATCAATGAAAATGTTGCTCCTCACAAAGATCTGGAACAGAACTGGGTTTATACAACTTTCACGGTGAGTTGGTAAAGGCATGAAATGCATTTCTACCATAAAATCATACTTCAGGGAATTTTACTCCTTTTCACAAGCTCTGCACAAGTTTGCTTCCTGTCGGAGTACATTTATAATAACCTGTGTCAAAATGACCGTATCATTTCCTTTGATTTTTATTCATTTATTTACTTATTTGTTTCTTTTTCTTTTTCCAGAAACAAATGCAGCGTATCATCACGCACATATTCAATGCAGTTAAGCCAAAGCTGCAGACCAGGCTTGGCTACTTTGACCTGTACGGCTTGGACTTCATGATAGACACAGACATGAAGGTCTACCTAATTGAGGTCAATGTTAATCCCGCACTTCACATTAACTGTGAGGCTCTCAAGGAGGTCATCCCCAGTGTGGTAGAGGAGACACTGTGTAAGCAATACACAAGTACACTGATACTAAGCACAAATAGTATATTTCCATAGTTACTGTTGTCCTTCTATCTGTTGTGTTACTTGTTTTGTAAAATGGAATTAAACTCTAATAAAAAATTTAGGGAAACATGAGTCAAAGATGCAAAGGATGTTAAAAAATCTTTTACCTTCAAGTTGGCCATTGCCAGAAAGTCCATATTAACTTAGAGGAATAATGTCATTTATCTGTGTTCTTCAACGAAAAAAATTATCAGTGAGCAACTGTTTGATATTCTCTTTTCTTCCTGTTCTAGATGTTGCCATAGAGTGCTTTGAGAAGAAAAAGAAAGGGAATTCAATATGGCCCTTGCAGTCACTGAAAAACTTCACTGTTCTCTATGATGGGGAGTCTGGAAAATATCTCCATCGTATGACAGTCAATAATGGTCAAATACGCACCCAGTCACCAACAAAGGAGGTTCGTACTCAACAAGATGATACCGCCACAGTGCCACCTACACTTAAAGAACCTCCTAAGCAACAGACTCCATCTACAGTCCAGAGCCCTGCCAAGACAAGCCCAACAGTGACCACCACCACTACAGCAGCGTCACAACTGCCTCCAGTACAAAAGCCCACCACTCCACGGCCACGAACATCTAGTCGTAGCATTCCAGCCACGGAACCAACTCTTTCATCACCACGGTTACAGTCCACAGAGATCTCGATCCCAGTTACAAATCTGACACTTCCTAACGAGGCAGTGAAGCTACGCCTAACTACAGCCAACCACAACTCTCAGTCCCATAATGCCAAGCGACCTAAAAGTGGAGGCGACAGAGGAAACTGATGCTTTGTTGTTCTTAGGCAAAATCAAATGTTGTATCCTACGAAATTCACATAATCATACCACTTTGTGAGATGGACAAGTTAATGCCTTGGCTGTTACATGAGAGAGTCAACTAAATGGAGCTCCTGTGCTTGGCAAGGTTAATTAATTAATTAATTACTAACTTATTAATTAACTTACCTAAACAAATATGCAGCAAACTAGTGGTGAACTTATGAAAGGGAGTAAAACTTGTGTAGTATAATTCCATGTTAAGAGCTCTCAAAGTGAACCAGCTCAGCCAAGATGTGAAAATGGCCTTGCAAATCATGCCACAGTTCAGTAAGGACAAGGGCAGAGAATTACTAGTCTGTACAGCAGCACATTACAATAAAGAAAAAAGGTCTACTCCTTAGTGTACACAATTAATATAATTGCAGTGATTGAAATACATAGAGAGATCTGAGTTGCAGCAATTTTGACAGCAGAGTTTATCACAGTTGGCTTTGATAGGTAATCTTGCTGTGGCATTATGTATAAGATTAGAGTTTTTTTTTAGTTTGTGTTCATAAAGTCATTACCAACATGTGGTTGGCTTAGCAATAAAACATATCATCAGGTAAATGTCAATTAAGTTTACAGATCTGTACCGGTGGAGTGTTTGGTATTGTCAGTCAGTATATATTTGCTCAAGATGCAAAAGTGGCCAAATCAACTTTTATTTGAATTGTGGGTAAATGTACATTGATAGAACCAGGCTCCAGTTTCACAAAAAAAAAAAACTTAAGTCAGTTGCCTGGCTTAGTTGACTATGATTTCCATGAGAGTGCTGTCACACTGCTCCTGATAGGGTAAGATGTGCCCATCTGACTATGTTACCTTGTAACCTTGGTAATTATGCTCTTAGATAGGGAACCTGACTTTTTTTGTGAAACTGATACCAGGTCTTGGTCTGTTAAGGAACAGTTTAGGTGTATTGTTTATGTTGATCATGTCTTTAAGGAATCTTTGCTGATAGGCTGGGGGAGTGATAGAACTTGTGATTAAGTGAAAGAATCCCAGAAATCCATTTCAGTACTATTGTTAATTGGGCTTTTCTGGAGTCTTATCCAGAGAGTTAGGTATTTATTAACCTAAGTTACAGTTCAGATGCACTGCAGTGTCTTTGTTTTCATGTCTACATCCTTGTCAAATGCAGTTTTGCTGACATGGAAGTTTGAAAATATTATTTTGTTACAAATAATTTTTTTATTATACTTACTTACATAAATGTCGTTGTGACATCTACAGTCTGCACTAACATCACAAGGTGACATTCATTTAAACAATCTCGTCCTTATTTTGTTAAAACAATTAAAGTCATAATAACTCTTCATTTTGGCCAAAAATTGGATTTTCCTGGAGTAAAGGGCAATTTTCCCGTACTTACCAATGGTCAGCGACCCCATTCCTGCATTCAAAGTTAATCCAGGGTTTTTCCTAAACGTATGGTTTTTTGTTAAAATCTCTTAAGAGATTTTAACTGACGGAGCTCTCTCTGACATCGCATAGTCACTGTTGACCTACTTAAAACCGCGGGAAAAGCAGACAACAACAACACTATATAAGATTCATGAGATATATTCGTCTTTTTGCTAAAAAAAGATTTATATCCACAATGTGTGCCATTCTGGGCTTTTCGTTATCCGACGCACTGTACAAAAACTCGCAACTTACGTCTGCGTCTGCATTAATGCGTTTGGCGCCATATGTTATTTTGGTCTCGAATGAAAGCGAGAATCCGCGTGTCACCATTACGTCATTAGCAACGAATGCCTTGATGACCGGGAAGAAAAGCATCGAAAGCCCTATTGACAAGCACAGATTTTAGTTTTACTACAATAACGGCCGTTTTAGTGGTAAAATACAATAGAATATATTTCCATGCGTTGTTTACAATGTATTTCATGCGGAATTTTGAATCTCAAAGGAAGAGTTATTATTGCTTTAACATTACCAAACTAATAAACTCAATTCGGTATGCATTATTTTCATTATGTTTAATTTAAATGTGAGGACATAATATACATGGATAATCCCAGTGATAATAATCAGGTGTGATATAATCCTTTTCAATATCACCATAGTGTGACTGGTATTGAGAAATACATTGTGCATTTCTTTGTTTTCCAATCAAAATTGTTTTCTTGGTTTTGTTTGTTGTTAGTTTTACCTGAGGAAAAGGAAACATGCACTTTACAAGTGCTAATAGTCTAAGAGCTATTAATTAAGGTATTTCAACTGTTACAGTTATACTAATTGTTTTGTTGAAGGCTATGATGTTTAGTTTTGTTGATGATTTTAGGTATTATATTAGCATTTTATTCAGTCATGAAACTTATGTTTGCTGTATTAGTGTTGTTTAAAGATTTTAAGTGAAATTTCCCTGCTAGTTTTTATATATTTTGTTAGTTTTATTTATTTATTTACCAGTATTAAGAAATGGTAATACATAGTATCAATATATCCCAGTGTCATATTATAAGCAGTATTATTTGGATTATTACATCTTGGGTGCTTATTTGTAGTGATCTGTTTTTGTATTGTATTGTGTGAATAAAATTCAGGCAAGGGTTATTTTNAGACGAACGGACAGACAGAGAGGCATTTTTTAATAACTACAAACGTAAGTTTTTAGATTGGCACTCACTGAGAAAGGAGTATATCTATGTTGTTGGTCTTTGTTTTTTCATATTTATTTTTAAGCATATTTCTTGCACCTGATGTCACTGACACATTTGAAAGATATGGATGTTACATGTCACCTTTGTGTTTGCATCTATTCTTTGTTGAATTAAAACTGTTACAAAATTTCTATTACCAAAGTGAAGCAGTTTCTATAGTTTACTCAAAGATTTTGTTGTTTTCATTCAACTATATTTATTTCAACTTCTTTATACTTCCATAACTTGTAGCGGGAGAGGTGTGGATCTGTAAACCCACAGGTATGAACCAAGGCAAGGGTATCTATCTAGTCAGAGACATTGAGAAATTTAAAGCCAGTTTGGAAGAAAGAGATGAAAGGCTAAGGAGGCGGCGAGTGAGACCCACTAACATGGGAAGGATAATACAGAGGTACGTTATACAGAGGACTGGAGTATCATATATTGTGAAAAAGAAAAATTCACGTAATCATTGTGTTATTGTACTGCATAACAGTACAGAATAATAATACAGAGGAACATGGTATCCATTATTGTTAAAATAAACCTGCTCATTTAGTGATCAAAGTTACATGTGCTTTGTAGAAAAGTTTGTATATCTAACAGCTTGAAGTTTTTTTAGCTCTTTACTTTGAAAAGATACATTTCACGTAATATCTGATTTCATTTTTACATAGATATATTGAAAACCCACTGCTGCTTGAGGATAAAAAGTTTGATGTGCGGACATACATGCTGATTGCAAGCACCACACCTTACCTTGTGCTCTACCACAAAGGATACGTGCGCTTGTCTTGTCAGAAGTATGATCACCATAGCAACGATCTGACAGCACATTTGACCAATCAGGTGAAGGAATCGGAATAAACCTTTGTTTGTTTGTTTGTTTGTTTCACTCACCCTTGTCTTTTATTAAGAACTGTTTTCAACCATTGTTTAATTTAGTGCAGTTTCTCTTTAAAAGAGCTGAGTATAAATATAATGAAAATCCATATATTACATGTTTATTTGCAAGAACCCAAGAAAGCATTATGCAAGTATGGAATTATTGCAACAAGCAACATTTAGGCGAAATAATTTCAGGTATCTTTAAATTAAACATTAAGTATTATAACTGTATTATTATTATTATTATTATTATTATTATTATTATTATTATTTGTAGTACATTCAGAAGAAGGACCCCAGCTACCAGGATGTGAAGGAGGATACAGCCTGGTCCATGGATAAGTTCAATGACTACATCAATGAAAATGTTGCTCCTCACAAAGATCTGGAACAGAACTGGGTTTATACAACTTTCACGGTGAGTTGGTAAAGGCATGAAATGCATTTCTACCATAAAATCATACTACAGGGAATTTTACTCCTTTTCACAAGCTCTGCACAAGTTTGGTTCCTGTCGGAGTACATTTATAATAACCGGTGTCAAAATGACCGTATCATTTCCTTTGATTTTTATTCATTCATTTATTTATTTGTTTCTTTTTCTTTTTCCAGAAACAAATGCAGCGTATCATCACGCACATATTCAATGCAGTTAAGCCAAAGCTGCAGACCAGGCTTGGCTACTTTGACCTGTACGGCTTGGACTTCATGATAGACACAGACATGAAGGTCTACCTAATTGAGGTCAATGTTAATCCCGCACTTCACATTAACTGCGAGGCTCTCAAGGAGGTCATCCCCAGTGTGGTAGAGGAGACACTGTGTAAGCAATACACAAGTACACTGATACTAAGCACAAATAGTATATTTCCATAGTAACTGTTGTCCTTCTATCTGTTGTGTTACTTGTTTTGTAAAATGGAATTAAACTCTAATAAAAAATTTAGGGAAACATGAGTCAAAGATGCAAAGGATGTTAAAAAATCTTTTACCTTCAAGTTGGCCATTGCCAGAAAGTCCATATTAACTTAGGGGAATAATGTCATTAATCTGTGTTCTTCAACGAAAAAATTATCAGTGAGCAACTGTTTGATATTCTCTTTTCTTCCTTTCCTAGATGTTGCCATAGAGTGCTTTGAGAAGAAAAAGAAAGGGAATTCAATATGGCCCTTGCAGTCACTGAAAAACTTCACTGTCCTCTATGATGGGGAGTCTGGAAAATATCTCCATCGTATGACAGTCAATAATGGTCAAATACGCACCCAGTCACCAACAAAGGAGGTTCGTACTCAACAAGATGATACCACCACAGTGCCACCTACACTTAAAGAACCTCCTAAGCAACAGACTCCATCTACAGTCCAGAGCCCTGCCAAGACAAGCCCAACAGTGACCACCACCACTACAGCAGCGTCACAACTGCCTCCAGTACAAAAGCCCACCACTCCACGGCCACGAACATCTAGTCGTAGCATTCCAGCCACGGAACCAACTCTTTCATCACCACGGTTACAGTCCACAGAGATCTCGATCCCAGTTACAAATCTGACACTTCCTAACGAGGCAGTGAAGTTACGCCTAACTACAGCCAACCACAACTCTCAGTCCCATAATGCCAAGCGACCTAAAAGTGGAGGCGACAGAGGAAACTGATGCTTTGTTGTTCTTAGGCAAAATCAAATGTTGTATCCTACGAAATTCACATAATCAGACCACTTTGTGAGATGGACAAGTTAATGCCTTGGCTGTTACATGAGAGAGTCAACTAAATGGAGCTCCTGTGCTTGGCAAAGTTAATTAATTAATTACTAACTTATTAATTAACTTACCTAAACAAATATGCAGCAAACTAGTGGTGAACTTATGAAAGGGAGTAAAACTTGTGTAGTATAATTCCATGTTAGGAGCTCTCAAAGTGAACTAGCTCAGTCAAGATGTGAAAATGGCCTTGCAAATCATGCCACAGTCCAGTAAGGACAACGGTGGAGAATAACTAGTCTGTACAGCAGCACATTACGATAAAGAAAAAAGGTCTACTTCTTAGTGTACACAATTAATATAATTGCAGTGATTGAAATACATAGAGAGATCTGAGTTGCAGCAATTTTGACAGCAAAGTCTATCACAGTTGGCTTTGATAGGTAATCTTGCTGTGGCATCCAGTATGAGATTGGAGTTTTTTGAGTTTGTGTTCATGAAGTCATTACCAACATGCGGTTGGCTTAGCAATAAAACATATCATCAGGTAAATGTCAATTAAGTTTACAGATCTGTACCGGTGGAGTGTTTGGTATTGTCAGTCAGTATATATTTGCTCAAGATGCAAAAGTGGCCAAATCAACTTTTATTTGAATTGTGGGTAAATGTACATTGATAGAACCAGGCTCCAGTTTCACAAAAAAAAACAAACTTAAGTCAGTTGCCTGGCTTAGTTGACTAGGATTTCCATGAGAGTACTGTTACACTGCTCCTGATAGGGTAAGATGTGCCCATCTGACTATGTTACCTTGTAACCTTGGTAATTAAGCTCTTAGACAGGGAACCTGACTTTTTTTGTGAAACTGATACCAGGTCTTGGTCTGTTAAGGAACAGTTTAGGTGTATTGTTTATGTTGATCATGTCTTTAAGGAATCTTTGCTGATAGGCTGGGGGAGTGATAGAACTTGTGATTAAGTGAAAGAATCCCAGAAATCCATTTCAGTACTATTGTTAATTGGGCTTTTCTGGAGTCTTATCCGGAGAGTTAGGTATTTATTAACCTAAGTTACAGTTCAGATGCACTGCAGTGTCTTTGTTTTCATGTCTACATCCTTGTCAAATGCAGTTTTGCAGACATGGAAGTTTGAAAATATTATTTTGTTACAAATAATTTTTTTATTATACTTACTTAAATAAATGTCGTTGTAACATCTACAGTCTGCACTAACATCACAAGGTGACATTCATTTAAACAATCTCGTCCTTATTTTGTTAAAACAATTAACATTACCAAACTAATAAACTCAATTCAGTATGCATTATTTTCATTATGTTTAATTTAAATGTGAGGACATAATATACATGGATAATCCCAGTGATAATAATCAGGTGTGATATAATCCTTTTCAATACCACCATAGTGTGACTGGTATTGAGAAATACATTGTGCATTTCTTTGTTTTCCAATCAAAATTGTTTTCTTGGTTTTGTTTGTTGTTAGTTTTACCTGAGGAAAAGGAAATATGCACTTTACAAGTGCTAATAGTCTAAGAGCTATTAATTAAGGTATTTCAACTGTTACAGTTATACTAATTGTTTTGTTGAAGGCTATGATGTTTAGTTTTGTTGATGATTTTAGGTATTATATTAGCATTTTATTCAGTCATGAAACTTATGTTTGCTGTATTAGTGTTGTTTAAAGATTTTAAGTGAAATTTCCCTGCTAGTTTTTATATATTTTGTTGGTTTTATTTATTTATTTACCAGTATTAAGAAATGGTAATACATAGTATCAATATATCCCAGTGTCATATTATAAGCAGTATTATTTGGATTATTACATCTTGGGTGCTTATTTGTAGTGATCTGTTTTTGTATTGTATTGTGTGAATAAAATTCAGGCAAGGGTTGTTGTCATCATTTGCCAAAGTTAAGTTGCTATTAACTTAAAGTAAAAAAAAA